CTACTCTCCTTCGAACCACAGTGGATTCAGTAATATACAGAAACCACTGCATAACTCCGACGGCTATGTCATGCAACTTATTTATAAACACTGTCTGAAAGCAAAGTGCAATGTGAACTTCCTCACCCAACCTTTCACAGTTTTTTGATATCCTCTCACTTGTAATCCAGGTACTGTGATCTCACACTGACTGCAAATTCACGACAATTTAGCAACGATGCAATGGCTATAAGTGATTTCAAATAGTTAGAAATCTTCAGCTAAAAATACTTTAAATTTATTTGAAATCAAGTTTTCAGCTTTCGCAACATCTATTTCTTTAGACGTCTCTTGATCAAGATTATTAGATAATTAATCATTTTTGACAACGTTATTTTTAAATAAACAACAGATTCTTAGCCGTCTTTCACGGCGCGGCTAAAAACAAACTTTTATAACTTTCTGCAGCCTAAAAACAGATAATATCAGTAGAACATTTGATTAAAGTTCCGCATGCACCATATTTAAAAGCTCCTTTCGAAACTACTATTCAAATTGATACAACTAAGCCTGTAAAGCTTTATGAAACTATTCTGAACGCGTTTTACAAATATAAAAGATTTTTAAACAAGTACGCTGAGGAAACATATTAAAGTATGATTATATAAGAGGTCAGTTGCTATACTCCAAAACAAAGCCCAAATACTTTTAAACTTAGCAACAGACGAACCTTACAGGTTTTAAAGGTACACTCTCACTCAAAAAGAAAACTAGAAACAAAACGTACACTCTCAGATAAGTGGCACTGTAGAATAAAAAATAGTGATAAAAGTGACAAATTAACAAAACCAAAACTTAATTTAAAATACAAAAAACTGCATCTAGCTCCTTCGGGCCAGCCCATGTAAAAATATAAATAGAGTTAGAAAATAAATCCTGTCATCTCATCTAAATCCAATGAAGTCGACCCGAAAAACCGGAAAAAGAACAGAAGCACATCCCCGTTTATACAAATCCACATACAGTTTCACTTGCAGCATACGAAAAAAGTATTACAGAAAGTATCATCAAAGTCTCATTTTCAAACCATTCAAGAATATCCTTTAGCCCCTTCACTACTCTACCGTTTAAAATGTGTAAAAGAAAAACATTTTGCAACATGCTGACCTTAGCTTAAACGTCTCCTAGAAAGATTTTTTTCTCATCAAATTTCTAAGGCATTGAAAACCTACAGTTACCTAACCGTCTCTGAGGATCGTTTTAGAACTGATCTCTCAGTAAGAATCCTATTGATTGAATCAACTAAGCGTCGTTCAAGGCAAAAAGGAGACTTTAAAACAGTTGCAGAAACAGACATCCTTGAAGTTGCAACCGCTGAAACACGAGACAGAAAGTGGGCAATATCTGCAGTAACCTGAGGGAAAAGATACATCATCCGACCTAACGAGTTAACGGTCCCATAAGTAAGATACAAAATTTCGTCGCAAGGCAGCATACGTTCCAACGTGGTCAACACATCAACAACTAATTCGACCCGCATGTAAGAAGACTCGATTTTATACTAAAAAATAAAATAATTTTTATATTCCAGAAAAAGTAGCTCCAATTATAATCAAATAGTAAATAACGTTTACAAAAAATGCCTCTTTATTGTAGAACTAAAATCTTTTTAAAATAAACTTTTTAAATCCTACTAGGGAAAAAAACCATTTTTATGTACAATTTTCAAATCGAAGAAATGTAAAAGTATTTTCTGAAGCAATATATAGATAAAAGTATTTACTTGTTCAGCTAACTCTGCAATCAAAACAATTGCAAAAAGCCTTTTTGACAAATCTGGGACAGCAAGAAGCTCATGAACCCATTTTATACATATGTGCATAGAAGGAATTTTTTTCACTGCGAGTGATATTAACTTTCTTGGGTAACCCTGCAAAGATCAAAACGGAGCTTGTTTTTTATAATAAGAAATCAGAACACAATATTCTAAAATATAAAAACATACATTGAAGAATCTTTAAAACAGTTTAAATAAATGAAAGTACCTGAAAATGAACAACTTTTGGAAGAAGTGGTTCAGCAATAAACATATGGTGAATATGAGCGCAAGCAAGATCATGTACTGCAGGATTGTTGAACCGGTCGCAGATCTCGAGCAGTATCTGAACAATAGCTGAGTCCTCGGCACCAATTAGCGAACGTGTCAATTCTTCTCGCTCCATCTTCTGTTCCTCTCTAAAGATTTTGTAAGCTCGCAAAATAAAGTGCTATAATTGCAAAATATTATGACACTAAAAACTATTGGCCAAAAAGCATTAAAGAAGTGCAACAACAGAATACGAAGTAAAAAAACGTGCCAAAAACAGTGATAACCGTAAGTTCACTCCACGTCAGAAAGGAAGGTAGCCCACCAAAAGCAAAAAAAATTAAGTATACCTTCTAATCTAAAAAACGACAAATTTGACGTTAGACATTGCCTAATTTACCAAAAGAGGCACTTTTATTATCAACCAGAAGTCTATGAAAAACGGCTGAACTTTTAAGATTCAAAATCTCCTCAAGGCAGAGACTAATGAAGGAACTTGGAATGATCCCTTCCCAAAAAAAAAAAAAAAAAAAAAAAAAAAAAAAAAA